AACTAAAAATTTGTTAAGTACGACATATACTATGTAAAATATGAGTGTACTGTATTTAGATGAGTTAATAAATACCCGCATTTCATGTCTAACGTTGAACAACTCATAGCATCTTAACAATATGTTTATAAAGATAGATCTTAACAATAAGCCACCTTCCCCTCTATGCTAATGAAATTGGGAAGGGCCTACCTGTTGAATTAGATGACTCTATTGAAGTTGAGAATGCATCCAAGTACCTGATATGTATCTTTTAATCTCAAATATATCGTATTGTTGGTCATTCACCTTTAAAATATAATTTTTATGATTAATTTCATGAAAAGAACAACCATTTAGTGAACTAAAAGCGTAAAGCATTTTGGTGAACTAGAAGCGTAAGCTTTTAATTTTTAAAACGCAATTTAGTCTGATTTAATACAATAAAGATTTTATATAGAAATGAAAGCATTTTGGTGATCTAAATCGTAAGTTTTTTAAGTTTTAAAGCGTGATTTAAACTGCATTGCAAAGAACCAATCCCATATAGTTTACACAAAGATATGAATACGATTGTTTCATAGTAGGTCTAAAACTTAATACTAATTTAAGAATTATACATCACTTCTACATATTCAATACTTCAATTCGATATGGAATATTCGAACCAATGATATTTGAGCCGCGATTTGAAAGTTGTCCTCTATTTATAAGATATATAGGAATTTAATTAAGTATTAAACAATAATTAAAATGAGGAATTTAGCCTTTGTTAATCACACAAAGTTTTAACTCAAATGCATGTTCCTCTAATGATTTTTGCTTCTTATTTGTAAGAGATGAGGTCGACTGGTTCTATGACTCTGCAGCTAAAGAAAAATGAAATTTACTATTGCGGGATTATGATGACTTTTGAGATGGTTGGGTCTTTATAGGCTCTCGAATCTAAAGCAAGAAGAAAAGACGATGAGATAGTCGAACATGGTTTGTGATGTTCCATGTTGTAGTGTATTGTGATAAATAAAAGGATGATATGACAGCGTAGTTACGTATACAAATTGTTAAAAACAACATCATTTTGAAGTGGCCCGGTATTCAAATTAGTTGGTTCAATTGGTCGTATTTTCCGATTTGATTGGATTTTCATGGGTTTGACCGAGCCCGAGTAGACAACCTATTGGGCCTTCAGCACCCGCTGAGATACTCGGGTTTAGGTAGAATTGGTTCGACCAGCAGAGTCAAACTCGAATTGACTATCATGGTTATGAGTTTTGACTCTTATATGTGTTTGAAGATACATTAATTGAAATCACAATACTTGTCTATTTTCTATACAAAATAAAGATAAATAACGGTGAAGACAAAAATGTCATTCATTTTTTGGTTCTCGTTGTAGGAAATTTGAAATGGGATGACAATTTTATCATGCCAGTAATATATATTGTGTAGAGTGTATACTTAGACATGTACTTGCTCTACAAATTAATTTTAATAAATAAAAAAGATGACATAAACCAAACTATTAAACTCAACCTCGTCTAATGATTATTGGATCCAATCATGTCTGTCGAATTAGGAAGATGTTTAAAACTTAAGGGTTAATACCTTAGTTTGGCCCGAACTATACACAAACTTTCTACTTTGGCCCGTGGTTTCCGAAATTGTTATCCCGACCTGAACTATGTACCATACTTCCTAACTTGGCCCGGAGCCGGATTTGACCGTCAAATTTAACGGTCAACATAGTTGACCGTTAGTCAATGGCCAGCTTACCTGCCACGTCAACGAGCACGAAATAAAAAAATTTATTTTTGGAATTTATGTATTCGATTAATTTTCTAATAATAATAATAATTAACATTTTTTAACCCAAATTTATCCCCGCCCTTTTGACTAGCTGCATCCCGCAAATCCCTACCGCCCCACAAATAATCGCAATCAGAGGGAACACCAAAAGAAACTAGGGAAAAAACACGATTTCTTAATCAGATCTATGGAAACAAGAAAACCCTAGCTATTCCCCTAAACAACCCTCCGGGATTTTTTTTCCTTCCAGAAATCAGTTATAGCGGCAGCCAAACAGAGCAATCGAGAGGGAAAAACAAGTAACGAGAGCGGGAGAGAGAGGTAGAGCCTACACCTCGGGGAGAATCCATCTAGATGTGGTAGCCATGGTTAGCTTCGCTGATAGAGTTGGAGAGAGAGATCGAATGAGGGAGGGAGAATATGGAAAATAAAGAGAAAAGAAGCGTCTGCGGAGAAGAAAAGGGAAGTTGTGATTTTGTTTTTAGGAGTTGGAAACGAATACAGTGATGGCGGACTCGAGGAGGAAGGAGGAGTCGGGGAAGGAGGAGCGCGGTGACACGGCGACGGCATCATGTTCAACCGACCGGCTGGCGGCGTGTTCAACCGACCGGCCGGCGGCCGCCGCTGCATTTCTGCGGGAGCTTCGAGAAGGAGAATCGTCGGGGAAGGAGGAATCGGGAAAGATGGGTTTGGTCTGGTGTGGAATATTTTTTCGGTTAAGTAAATGTGAGAGGATAAGGTGAGAGGGGAGGGGATAATGTGGGATTATTTATTTTTTTCCTTTATTATTATTATTATTATTAATAGAAAAGAAAATGAATAAATAAATTTATAAAATAAAATATTTTATTCTGTAATCGCTGCATGGCAGGTGATCTGGTCATTGACTAACGGTCAACTCTGTTGACCGTCCAATTTGACGTTCAAACTCGACTCCGTGCCAAATTAGGAAGTATGGTACATAGTTCATGACAGGATAGCAATTTCATAAACCACGGGCCAAAGTAGAAAGTTTGTGTATAATTCGGGCCAAACTAAGGTATTAACCCAAAACTTAATGGTTAGCTATGCTAAAACGTTCAAAAAACCTATCCCCATATAGTTTGTACTTTGTAGAAAGATAAGAATATAATTGCCTCATAGTAGTTCTACAAACTAATACTAATGTAAGAGTTCAAAATTGCTTATACAAATTTGATATGTAATATTGAACCAATGATATTTGTTATATGATTTTAAAGTTATCCTCTGTTTATAAGTAAATTAAGTATCAAAATATAATTTTAAGGGTAATGTCTATTTTTTATCCAAACTTTTTTCAGATTCTTTTATATTATCCAAACCTATTGAAATACTAAGAATTAGCCAAATGTTAACTTCCAGTTAGCAATGTTGTTAGTAATATTGACTTGGCAACACGATAGTGACTTGGAAGAGATTCATGAAGGTCAACATTCCAAAATTTTAATATTTTAACTAAGAAAAGAGTTACAGAATTATTAACGATAACGTAAAAATGGCTACTATTTTGATACATTATGAAAGATTTGGATAATTAATAGAATTTTAATAGGCTTGAATAAAATAAAAGAATCTAAAAAATATCTGGATAAAAAATAGACATTACCCTAAAATAATTAAATATGAAAATCGAAGTATCAAACATCAATTAGTACCGAGGGAAGATTTGGTGACCTTAGCTAACCATTGAAAAGTTCTGTGATTTTTTCATTTTAGCTTCATGTATGTTTTTATTTATTTAAAATGATACAACTAATCTATGTAGTTTAATTGAAAATGACCATGGTTCAAATCCTAGTATCTATTTCTTTTTTTAGGAATAAATGAAAAACAAATAGATCATTGTGAAGACAAGAATACTCTTTCTACTTTCACTCTCTTTGCAAAAAAATATGAATGGGGGAGTTACCATAACCATCTATCTATATTCTTGTCGATAGCATTTTCAGTCACATTCTCCACCAAGGGGGGAAATGCAAGTCATCAACAAGAGCAGCACAAAGTTCCAATTGTGACCAAAGTTCTTCATTTTGGCTTATAGAATTCCAACATGATTGAGCGTTGGGTAAAATATCTCGAGTGCCACTTAAGTTTGAGAATTGAGGTAGACATACCACTTAAGTTTGGATAGGGCGTCGGGTACCACTGAACTCTATTATACGTGCACCTGGTACCACTTAAGTTTACTGGTAAGTGCATTCCGTTAAAGTTGATAAAATATTCTTAAAAATACTCCGTTTTCTAAATTTTATAATTGGTCATTCTACTTCTCTTATTGTAAAAAAACCATTTGGACTTATGAAAAACATAATTTTTGTAAATCTCAATTGATGTTGCTGGTCAAAGACGACATAGTTCAAATCACATTATGCATGTGGTTTATTCATTCGGCACATGAAAGAAGAAGCTAGAATCTCTAGTTGAAGTGAGCCTAACTTGATTAATTACTTGTATAGTTCATAAAGCAATTTGATTCCCACTGCCAAACTTCTTTCATCAACCTTCATTAGATTAAGACTGAAATTTGGTGAAATGACAACTCCTAAAACGTTCCTTCTTCTACCTTCTTGTGCTCGAGTTGTTTTCATTCATTGCATCACTACATTAAGAAGATTCATCATTATTATTTTATGAAGACCGTTTCTTATTTTCTGTTATAGAATAAACGATCTACAATTCAATTTTAGAAGCACGAGATATGGACACCTGCAAATGATCCTAGCTAGTAGGAGCAGACCTATAATTTTTGGTACACCAAAATTGTAATACAAAATTTTCGACACTATTTTAATAATTATAACCGATAATTAGACAAAACTCCTCTTCAACAATCTTGGGTCCGCCACGACTAGCTAGGCCAATAATTGGATATTCGACCAAGGATAGAATAAAATCGCAGCTACCATGCCCTGAATAAAAGTATCTTCAGTCATTCCTAAACATCAATACTAATATACCCTCTCCACTTGGATATATTCAAAAGCCAAAGCTTTTTGGGCGTTTTCTCCTGCTAAGCGTAGCATTTTTAATTCCCCTCCCTCCACCTCTAGAGATTCTCTTCTTGCATACCATTGGATTACTATGTTTGATATTTCAACAAAGTTAAAAGAAAAGAAGAATTGGATTCCACCTTATCACTTGACAACATCACATGATAAAGACTCTATATAAGCTCCAAGCACCATGATCAAAAGACAGATACAAAACCACCTTAAGACACATCTACTTTCCCCAATCCGATAACCACATCTCAGTTCTCATCATCATCATCATCATCAAATGTCATCCAGAAATAGCTATAACCAGCAGTTCTACAGCCGCGAGGCATCATCATCGTCGTCAGATGACTATGGATACTGCTATTATCCTCCGAAGAGGGAGGAAGTGCCGCGGTATGAGAGAGCTTCATCGTTGCCATCATCTAAGGTCTGTGTTACGGTTGGTGATGAAAAGATTTGCAGTGAAAATGTTGACAATGTAGCTGAGGAGTTCATAAAGATGGAGCACAAGAAGTTTGAGTGGAGCAAGACCATGTCCTCCATGAGCTTTGGCTAATAAGGAGCACTACATGAGATTGCTAGTTATGAAAGCTACAATAATGATACTAATGGAGCTACAAGTGAAATAATGTTTTATGTTTTTCTGTTCTTCCACTTCAATTTTTGGATTGAAGTTTGCTACTTTTATATGGGGCTGGAAATAATTCTTCAGAAACTATGACTGATTCTGGTACATTGTACTACTGTCTCTGTACACAAACTTCTTCTATATAAATATAATAATATAAATATTCCAATGTCGCGATTGTAAAACAATATCGGATAAATTAAATGGGATGATATTTTATATTTAAATATTGACTTGATCATAGTTAAATTGTTCAATACTGTTGTTTTCCGGCGAGGAAAAACTGGTGTTTGAACACAATGAATGCACCTTGACTTCTTGAACAACGATTAATAACACGGTTCACTCCTCTCCGAACAATGTTCGAACGAGGGTGTTTGATGTTTTTGATGGTTTTTTGGAAACAATCTAAGTTACTCTACTCCTATGGAGGTTCAGTGAGAGCTCCGAAAGACTACAAGCTGATTTGCAGAGAAAAGATAAATTTTGACATTGTGCGTCGAATGTTTGGTTGTGGAACCCCTTTACAATTTTAGTTTCTCCTATTTATAGACATCGAGTGTAACTGCCTTGGTAACTGCCTTTGTAACTGCTAGCTGGCTTGCTGCTCCAAACCGCCTCGGGGTCCTTGTCGCCGCCTTGGTGACTAGTTGGTAACCGTCACCTTGGGGGACCTTGTCCCGTCTTGGGCTGGTGGGAACTTGATGGCCTCGATGCCGGGTCGTGTTGTTGTTGATTCTTGTCGCCTTGTCATGACTGGATGGGGTTGAGGCTCTTGCCTTAGCCTCCATGATCCATGATGAAGTCTTGATCTCACCTTCGACTACTTGATGACTCCCCGCTCCTGAGTCCGCTACCACCTCATGACACCAAGTCCTTCTCATTAACTTGTTGATTGTTACCAAGCCGTCTCATCGGCTTGATACCTTCTGGCATGCCACCAAGCCCATGTAATCAACTTGACACCCCTTGCTACCAAGCCAGCCCTAGTGGCTTGGTATCCATACTTAGTTTTTGTAGCCTCATCAAGTTGGTAAATTACACCCTGCCAGCTTGGTACCCCGTTAGGGTGCTACCAAGCCCGCCTTGGGACTTTGTCTCCATATGGCCCCATAAGGGCCATACATGGCTGTTTGGTACCCAGTCGGGTGGCCATCTCAGCTAGCCACCATGTCTTAGTCGAATTTTTTGTCTTGTTTGCTTGATACCCTGATGTTTGGTTATCAAGTCCGTCTTGGCCCCATGTTGCCTGTCCACCAAGTCAGTCTTACCGGCTTGATACCCCCTTGGGGTCATGATACCAAGGGGTATGATACCCTGTCGCATTGCTTGGCTGCCAAGCCTGTCTTGCCGACCCCGTTGGCTTCATACTTGGCCAAATTCATGCTTTCGTGTCTTGGTACCAAGCCCTGCATTGCCAGCTTGGTACCCTCTTGCTATGGACATGTCTGGTTATCATGCTTGACACCCTAGTGCAAGGACCCCCTGGGATGATGTCATGCGTGACCCCCTTGCGTTATGGGTCTCAACACTTAGCCAATTTTCGACTTCTTTCGCATCACGGTCTAGTGACTTGCGTTGCCCTTCTCCCCTTGCCACACGCTTTGATACCTGGTAGGCGGCTAGACCCCATTGGATGCTATCATGCTTGACCCCCTTGCACGCTGTCATGCTTGACTCCCTTGACGAGACCCTCTTGGACGATGTCATGCATGACCCCCCTTGGACGGTTGGATCTCCATACTTAGCCAATTTTCACCTCAGCATCATGCTTGACACCCTAGTGCTTGACCCCATGGACGGTGTCATGCATGACCCCCCTTGTGCTTGACCCCCCTGGGATGATGTCATGTCTGACCCCCCTTGTGCTATGGGTCTCAACACTTAGCCAAATTTTGGCTCTATTTGCTACCACAGCTAGCTCGCGTCTCGTCATACTCCACTCGCCTTGGATGGTATCATGCTTGACCCCCCTGGGATGATGCCATGCATGACCCCCTTGTGCTTGACCCCCTTGGACGGTGTCATGCATGACCCCCCTTGTGTTGTGGGTCTCCACGACTTGGGTGGTTGATGTTGAAGGGTGTCAACGCTCGGCACTTGACCCCCCTTTGCGTAATGGGTAGGTGTTTGGTGGGTCAAGTGGTGTGTGTTGAGGTACTTGGTATGAAGCCCAAAATACCATTATTTAGGCCCAACCTAAACCAATTTAATTAACATGGTTAAGTTGGCCTTATAAATCACTACCACTCCTTGAAAATAATCAATGTGGTATTGAGTGATTTTTTAGTGGTAAACAAATGCCCCCCAACTACTTAGTGCATAAGGATTATGGACTAAGTAGTTAACATCAACTAAACCACTTAGCTTCACACCTCGTACGTATCAAGCTCACCTCTCAAACCCTCCTGCGGCTGAGCTTTGGCTTTATCAAAGTCGATTAAAAGATAAAAGGCCATACTTTTCTCATTCAACCATTTGTAGGACTGCGATCTACTTGCCCCCAAGACAAGTTAACTCCTCATTGCCTTAGTAGCAAATTTTATTTTTATTATTGATAAAGTGTGATACCAATCTACTTGGTTTCACTGCTCCCATATCAATGTTATACTTTTATCTCAATATACCCTCCATGCCATGGCTAGCTACTCAAGCCAGACATCATCATGATGGTATCATGTCATGCCTTAGGGTGCGGGCGGCTTGGCATGTCGGCCACCATGGTGGCCTACTAACATTGAACCCTTTGACACCCCACGTCCCAAAGAGAAGGTACGTAAGGCTTGAGATACTTACCATTGATCAATCGATCATGAAACACACCATCTAAATTTTTTAACAAGTAAGCCCCATTGGGTATGATGGCATGGACCATGAAGGTTCTAGGTCACATAACCGATCTCTTGCTCATGCCCTGTAAGTGGCATGGATCCAAACACATTACTGTGGATTACCATTCATGACAAGAACCTCTCATCACAAGTCTAACAAAAACTTGCTACTTCGACATCTTCTTTTTTAGCCATGAGTGGCCTATTTTCACTTTTTCTCTTTTTTTATAACTATTATTTATATAATTAATATAGTAATGAGTGATAGACATCACTGATTTCCACACCCTTTGGCAACTACCAATGTGCCAAAGGTGTACACCCATTGCCAAATCCATGAATCAAACCAGACCAACCATCCATACACTACATGCCTTCCCTCCTTAAGAAAAGACCATTCCTTCGGTGTTGGTTTCGAATTTTCCAACTTAACAACGGATGGTACCTGATCAACTTGTCTTGCTTTGGCAGGCTTGCAAGGGGTCTCATGCTCCTTTGCCTGAGCCATCTCATTAGACACGTTGTTCTTATTTTGAGCCCGATGTTTTTGCCTCATCCTGGGTGGCACACTAAACATCTTCAACTCCTTTGAGTCATCAACAAGACCATGAGTTGTCGTTTGTCTTAGTTCCCCCCTGATGAGACACATGCTTATTCTTCCCATATGGTTGGAAAGATGGGTGTTTGGACTTAACAAGTCGATGACCAACCTGGTGGCCAACCTGATCCTGTTCAACCCTTACGGCTTGCTGACTTCTACATGTAGTACATAACCTCTGGTTCTTTGTAGGACCATTTCTGGTTTTTGTATGCCGAGATGTCTTGTTCATGCCCCTGCCATTCATATTTGGCATGCCATGAGGGTTGTTAAGCATGCACTTGCCTCTTTGTCCATCTATTAACACACTCTCATACTTAGAAATTTTTTGAGTGGCTTGGGTGTGATGAACACTCCTAGACTTGTTCTCCACTCGTTTCTTCACTGTCGGTGACATGCCCCCCTTTCTACTGGTTGGATACATGCCCCCCATAGCCTTGTTCATGGTTTTTGACGTGCCCCCTATGCCAAACTCAACTACACTACCATTCTTACTACAAGCATGTGTGGCTTGGGTTTGTTGTGGCTTCTTGGGCATGTGTATCTTTCTATTGTTTGTAGTTGATGATATGCCCCCTTGCCAATCCTTCATGGGTGGCATGCTACAAGGGGCCTTGCCTCCTTGTGCACTCTTTGACACGTTATCAAAGTTATGAAAATCATAGGTGGCATGGGTAGGCAACACCCACTTAGACTTGCCACTCACTCCATCCTTCATGTCTGATAACATGCCCCCCTGCCCACTGCATGGAGATGGAGATATGCCCCCCATGCCATCCTTAGGAAACAAATATGGTGTTATGTTGGACACACCATTTTGTTCACCTTTCTTGACATCAACTTGTCCCCCAGCCTGACACTTCACCTTGTTAGGTAGAATTCCATGGCCCTCTGCATGCCCCCCTGGCGATTTGCATCCACCAGGCCGCTCAAGCATAGATGGCATCGAGGTTGGGCAAGCTTGTGGTAGCACATCAACCATTAACCCTCCACCAACTCTCACGTTCAAGCATGGTCTAGCCTCTGAGATAGTTTTATGAGTAACTGTCGGCACAGGCGGTTGCTTTACATGAGTGGTGAACGTGGGAGCTAGATTCTCGCCACAACCACCATGTTGAAGAGGTAGTTGAATTTCCATCGGAGACGATGAATTCTCTGACCGTGGCTGAGCAGTCCGGCCACCGGAGTCTAGATTACTCGTATACCCAGTAGCAATGTTTGACGGTGGATCTACACCATCTTTTGCCAAAACTTTCGATCTCAACACTGGTTTTATCAAAAGTTGACAAACTCCTTAAAATTATTTTTATTTATCTCGAAAATCTCCTCCAGTTGATCCAAACGTCGATTTATGCGAGTATGTAAAAAATCAAGTTGAGATACCATTTGTTTGGTGTATCCCACCATAGCCTCCTCCATTAATTTTATTTCTACCACCAGTGACTGGTGGAGAGACAAGGTGGTGGCAGTTACATCCAAACATGACGCCGGTGATGGTTGGCATCTTACCCCACCATTGTTTCCGGCGTCACTTTTTGCTAATTGACCAAGATCATAACTGGCCACTAGCTTTTTTACAAACCCAGGTGAAAGATCACCTTCTTGTTCTCTCAGTCGTGGAGCCATCAAATCAAACACACAGTGTCCCACCAGGTGTGCCAATTTGTTTTCCGGCGAGGAAAAACTGGTGTTTGAACACAATGAATGCACCTTGACTTCTTGAACAACGATTAATAACACGGTTCACTCCTCTCCGAACAATGTTCGAACGAGGGTGTTTGATGTTTTTGATGGTTTTTTGGAAACAATCTAAGTTACTCTACTCCTATGGAGGTTCAGTGAGAGCTCCGAAAGACTAAAAGCTGATTTGCAGAGAAAAGATAAATTTTGACATTGTGCGTCAAATGTTTGGTTGGGGAACCCCTTTACAATTTTAGTTTCTCCTCCCCGCTCCTGAGTCCGCTACCACCTCATGACACCAAGTCCTTCTCATTAACTTGTTGATTGTTACCAAGCCGTCTCATCGACTTGATACCTTCTGGCATGCCACCAAGCCCATGTAATCAACTTGACACCCCTTGCTACCAAGCCAGCCCTGGTGGCTTGGTATCCATACTTAGTTTTTGTAGCCTCATCAAGTTGGTAAATTACACCCTGCCAGCTTGGTACCCCGTTAGGGTGCTACCAAGCCCGCCTTGGGACTTTGTCTCCATATGGCCCCATAAGGGCCGTACATGGCTGTTTGGTACCCAGTCGGGTGGCCACCTCAGCTAGCCACCATGTCTTAGTCGAATTTTTTGTCTTGTTTGCTTGATACCCGTCTTGGCCCCATGTTGCCTGTCCACCAAGTCAGTCTTACCGGCTTGATACCCCCTTGGGGTCATGATACCAACGGGTATGATACCCTGTCGCATTGCTTGGCTGCCAAGCCTGTCTTGCCGACCCGTTGGCTTCATACTTAGCCAAATTCATGCTTTTTGTGTCTTGGTACCAAGCCCTGCATTGCCGGCTTGGTACCCTCTTGCTATGGCCATGTCTGGTTATCATGCTTGACACCCTAGTGCTTGACCCCCCTGGGATGATGTCATGTCTGACCCCCCTTGTGCTATGGGTCTCAACACTTAGCCAAGTTTTGGCTCTATTTGCTACCACAGCTAGCTCACGTCTCGTCATACTCCACTCGCCTTGGATGGTATCATGCTTGACCCCCCTGGGATGATGCCATGCATGACCCCCTTGTGCTTGACCCCCCTTGTGCTGTGGGTCTCCACGACTTGGGTGGTTGATGTTGAAGGGTGTCAATGCTCGGCACTTGACCCCCCTTTGCGTAATGGGTAGGTGTTTGGTGGGTCAAGTGGTGTGTGTTGAGGTACTTGGTATGAAGCCCAAAATACCATTATTTAGGCCCAACCTAAACCAATTTAATTAACATGGTTAAGTTGGCCTTATAAATCACTACCACTCCTTGAACATAATCAATGTGGTATTGAGTGATTTTATAGTGGTAATCAATTGTTAAAATCGCGTGGTATTGAGTGATTTTTTAGTGGTAAACAACTGTTAAAATCACAATATTGGCTTAGACTCTCCTATATATTACGCACCACTGATATGCTACTATTTTATCAAACATGAAAAACGGGTGGTTTTACTTGTCAACCTGTCCTTTTTCTGTATGATACCACTAATCCTCTTTTTGCACCAACCAATGGAAATAGAATCTAAAAATGTGAGCATATATGTTATGGATATATGGAACTTTGACCCCTCCTCCAAATCGGCTGTTGACCACATTTCCAACCAATAATGAGATTTTGGGATTTGTTTTTACAGTAAACATGAGCACCATTCATTAAGCAACCGCGGATTTCTTCACTTGCTTGATTTTATCAACTTGAACTCATCATAAGAATTTGACCTATAACTCAAAATTTTCCAATTAAAACAAGCTGCAAGCACAAAATGGTTCCAATCCAATCCCTTCATAAGCATCAGCCAAGTCCCACAACCTGTGGTCTAAAAGAACACCAAGCTCTTAAGAAAACCCAACCAACAGTCCTGAAGGGAGAAAAAACAACACCACAAAGAAGCTCAAGACTGAAAGCTTTTAAGCTACAAACAAACTACATATTTCTACGGAGAAATCCCTGACAACTTGGGAATTTTCCTCTTTTCCTTGTTTCTGCTAAAGCTTAACCAGAAATTCCCTTCCTTCCCCCACAAAATCTACTTGATCGATCGACAGAGTGGGCAAGTAGCGTGCTGGTTATCGAACCATTTCTGCAGACAACCTTTGTGAAAGAAATGCTTGCAAGAAAGCTCACTCACTTCCTCTTCCGCTTCAAACCCACATAAGCAAACACAACACTCCACCGTCGTCGCCAACCAAGCACTCCTTCCTTCGCTGCTGCCGCCGCCATTGTTGGTGCTGGTTGAAGAAGCTTCAGCACCAACCCCACCACTCAATGCCCTGAACTGTGTTATGGATATCCTTCTCCTCCTTCTGCTACTACTAGTAATTCTAATAATTCCGGCTCCGCTTTCTTCTTGATTCCCATCAAAGCTGATTGGAGAAGTAACAATCCAATGAAGCAGAGACCTTACCATGTTCTTAAGCAGGGCAACTGAGAGAACCGTGTTGACCACCAAAAGGGGCAGTACCCCTTCTGAAGGAGTTGGGAAATTAGAAAGACCCATGCTTTCCGGTTTTTTGGAGAAAACCCAGATCGCACAACCACCGAAATTCAATCACTTGGTCCTTCTTTTCCCTCTCTGGGTTCGTTTTGGAGGAGGAGCGGAACAGAGCAAAAACAGAGGAGACATGTACCAACAAATATATATATATATATATAACTCCAGCTTCCTGCCTTTTTGTTTCTTGTTTATTTTTGAAGAGGGGGGAAAACATGCGGCCTACACTAAACCACCAGTTTCCTGGAATTAACCATGGGTTGGAAGGGAACACGTGGCAACACGTGTAAGGTTTAGGGGGAGCTGATGATTGATTCTGCAACAGTTGCCATTCTCTTTGGTTTGAAGACCCAAGGAAAAAAGAAACAAAGGGTAAGTGGGTATTAATCAAATAATAATAATATTATTGGTATTGTTTTGTTGGCATGGGGAGGACACGTGTTGCTTCAGAGGGTGGTGAATCAAGGAACTGGGTTGCCTTGTGAGCTGTGGCAACAGGATTAGGAACAGAACAAGAAGAAGGGGTTACTTTCAGTCTACTTGCCACTTGCTTACAATAGCAAGGAAGGTACTTGGGTGGGGAAGTCAAAACTGTCTTTCTTGAGGGCTGCCTGAGGGGCCAGTTCCCCTGTTTGTGGCCGATGTTCGTCACAACTGAACATCAAACTCTAATCATCTCCGTACTGTTCATACCTGCTTCATGAGAGAACTACATACCTATGATTTCTCCAATATAAATAGGATGTTACAAATTACAATAAATCAGTGTTCAAGAAGGCGCGATTAATCTCTCGCCTAGGCTTGATTAATAGCTGGGCAGGACGAAATCGCCTCGCGCGTCGCCTATCAGAGTGAAAACGCGCCTCCAAGTGCCTAGGTGCCTAGATCAGTCGCCCAGGGCTATGAGCAACCACTAATCTTTGTTACTCATTTTTTCAATGACCCTATGCTTCTGTTAATATATGCAGATTGTGAAAAAGGGAATGGAACTAAATGTTTATGTCATTCTGAAGTACTTTTTGTTGGCTTCCTAGGTTCATATGCATTCTTGGCTTTGCCATCTATTTACTTAATCTCACTGTCTATTGCAGAATTTTAGATTCCTTGCCAACTTTATAACAGAGGCTGGAATCAGGTTCAAGAGGAGTAAGATAATGCTTGAGCCGAATTCTGATTTTGTTAAGATTATATGATTGCTTTGACATGACAAATTTACAAGGTATAAGCCGTACATATATGTCTTTCTCTTCGAGTAAATCTGTGCATTTGTTGAGTTCTTAATCTGATGGCACTTGTGGGTCCGAATTGACTTTTGACAGATGAACCAAAAGGACAAAAAATGCAGCAACTCAGAAGTGCGGGTGATGAGTCAGCTGTTTTACTGTACACAGGCCAAAGCATGAGGCTCGGATGTGGAATCCCATGCCAAAGCAGAACTTGATGGGAACCAGGACTCGGCAAATGATGAGTCATTTTAATGTGAAATCTATTCACAATTTCAACTTTATAACAGAGGCCTGGATGGGCACTAGGACTCGGCAAAAGTGCAGCCGAAGAACTTTAAATTGTGAATGAATGTATACAGGGGGTTGGGGTGAATGGATGTAGACAGGGGAGGGGGGGGGGGTGGAGGGTGAATGGAGTTTAAATTGATTTGTATTTCACATTTTTGACATTATGCAGAGTTCTGGAATATCAATTGAATATGTCAAGGTGACTCCTATATATTATGTTGATAGTGTTGTGGGTGAACCCGCAAACCCATCCGAATCATCCACCATCCGCCCGATCCAACCCGAGGGTAAATGTGGGTGGGTGGTGGGTTAAAAATTGTCAATCCATTTAACCGTGGGTGAGTGTGTTTTGTGATCAAAATTCGCCCGACCCACCCAATGCCCACCCCTAGTTGCTCACCCTGAAATCGTCCTTTTGCATAACTTCCTCACTAGTTACTTTGAATTCATATCTGGGTCGCGGTCTGTAGAGTCGTTGTTGCTTCCATGGCCATCTTTCTAGAAGTCTTGGACATTCCAAAGCGCTCAAGCAAGAGCTTCTGCAAGATTTATGAACATTCCAAAGAGGCAAAGACAAGAAACTATATAGTCTAAAAAGAATTAAAAAACCAGCAGTAGTAAAAACCAAGATTCCAGTCACATCAAACCCAAAACCAGAAGCAGTAGCAAGATTCAAAACAACTAATTGTCCTCCATCTAAAAAACAAATCGTCCACCATCCAAAATCAATTCAACAAACGAACTAAACCAAAAAAGAAAAACGTCATCTTGTTCTAAATTACTATCTGTCATCATCAAGCCACCAAACCCAGCGCCTCCCCCTGTAACCATGAATAATAAACAAATTTCAGATTCCAATATATAATGCTATAGCCTATAAATGTTCTGATTAACTGAGATTTTCAATTACTCTTACATTGTGATATGATATCACATAGATGAGAAGATCATTTTCCCGAATTAGTTTCTCCAAATGCAGCAGCAACTTCGACAGATTCTGAAATTGAGCATAATACAAAATAAACACATTATTCATAAACTACAACAGATTGGAAGAAAAGTAGTAAACTCAAAATTAGCTTACCATGGTCATTATTCTCTGGTTCAATGGGTTTTGGTGATGATCTTAACCAATCTTGGCAGCATATCAAAGCTTCAACAGTCTTAGGAGATAGTGAACTTCGATAAGGATCCAAAACTCGACCACTTGTGCTAAAAGTTGACTCCGATGCAACCGTTGATATAGGAACAACAAGCACATCTCGAGCCATTTTTGCAATGATTGGATACTTAGTTGAGTGGACCTTCCACCACATAAGAATGTCAAAGTCTTCTGATTCAGGCTCCCCAACATCAGCCAGATACCGTTGAGCTTCTGATTTGCCTCCAGAAGTGACAGAAGATGTAGTTGACTTGGCAAATTTCATCCTCAATGCTTTTGCCGGATCAACTTTTGACAAATCTTGGGGATTAAAAGACGCTGAAGACGATCCAGCATCTGTTGCAAGAAGAGATTCCATGTTTTCCTTCAAATAAAAGGCATACAATTCCAAGAACTTGCTCTCCAAATCCTTTGAAAAGTTAGCAGCAACTACAGCATCATAAATAATCTCCATGCAATGCTCTACATATCTCAATTTATATCGAGGGTCAAGAACAACATCAATATGTAGTAAAGGATTCAGATTGTCAACTTGCACCCAATACTTGGAAAATTTTCCTAGCATCCTAAATGCCATTCCACTTAACATGTGATCGCTACTCTTTGTCATGTCCAGAATCCCTTGTTGAACAGCCACAAGCTCATGAAAAAAGTAGTTGGAGGTGACATGTTGAGTTCCAGAAAACTTTAAGGTGGCATTATAAAACAGCCACAAAAATTCAACCAAGCACCTGGAGTTTTTCCAATCTTCACAGCTAGGAGGACCAATCAATTTCTGCCTCTTTCGTCCTCTTTCTCTTGTGCTACCAAACATCTCATTTTGTTTGCTAATGACATTAGCTTGCTCTGCTACCTCTTCTTCAGCACCACCAAAATAGGAAGAGTAACGAATGTCTTCACACTCTAACTTATCAAATGCCTTTTCATACTTTTCAGCCACTACAAACATATGATAAGTCGAGTTCCACCTAGTTTCAACATCCAAACAAACACGACTTTTGCACTTGATCTTCTCCTCTTCTACACACTTCAAAAAACTTTGCATTCTAGAAGGAGAACTCCTCACATATCTTACAGCATTTCTAATCTTGATAATAGCATCATCCACCTCTTTCAATCCTTCTTGAACAATAAGATTAAGAATATGTGCACAACACCTCATATGAATATACTCATGATGCAAGACAGTTCCTACAGTGTCTTTTGTTCTTCGAGTTAAATGCTTTATGGCATTATCATTGGTACTGGCATTATCTACCGTCACAGTGAAGATCTTCTCTATTTCCCATTCTTTCAAACAAGGGTTAATATTTTTGTATGACCTGAACTTTGGTCAAAATAAACATCCTGGCCAATCTTTTCGATCTATAACATCCTGGCCCGAACTATACACCAAAATAAACAATTTGGCCAAACCCGATGTTTGACCGTTAACTTGGACGGTCAAACGCATTGACTAACGGTCAACGCGCCACGTCACTGCCACGTCACTGTGCCAAGTCATAAGATCTGATAAATATTTAATTTTTTCGTTTTTTATTTTTGGTTTAACTAAGGTATTAGATGATTTTTTTAATTTATAATAATTTAAAATTAGGGAATGTGTGGAAATTGTGAATTATTTTAAATATTTTATGCTGACTTGGCAGTGACATGGCGCGTTGACTAACGGTCAACGCGTTTGACCATCCAAGTTAACGGTCAAAAGTCGGATTTGGCCAAATTGTTTATTTTGGTGTATAGTTCGGGCCAGGATGTTATAGATCGAAAAGATTGGTCAGGATGTTTATTTTGGTCAAAGTTCAGGCCATACGAAAATATTAACCCTTCAAACAATTCATAATGGATAGACCTATAGTCTCCCCTTTATGATTAGCAATTGTTGGAAAACTAAGAACCTTCTTATGTATCTTCCACTGATCATCTATCCAATGTGCTGTCAAACACATATAATTGAGATTTTGCACTGAAGTCCAAGTATCAGTTGTAAGACAAACACGTTGAGCATGCAACATGGACTTCAGTTTCACTTTTTCCTCTTCATAGAACTTCAGAAAATCCCTATGCACGGTTCTTCTAGAAGGCAAACTGAATTTAGGTTGCAAAACCATGCTATATTTTCGAAAACCTTCAGCATCTATTGTTCGAAAAGGCATTTCATCAACCACAATCATTCTAGCTAGTGCTTTCCTAGCTTCAGAAGCATTAAATGACCCTAGGCGAAGTCCATCGCCCAATTGTTGCTGAGATTTGTCAAGAACTAGCGATTTTTGCTTCTGGTTTTTAGAATTCAATAGTTTCTCATATTCTGGACATTTTCCCAAATCAATGTGATTCAAAAGGTTACTAGTTCCATGATTCCTAGAGCCTGCAAAGTATTTCTTTTTGCAGTAATTACATGCAGCCTTAGGAGTAGCAGTGCCAACTGTCTCAGGCACCATAGTAAAGTGTGTCCATGCTCGAGAAGTTTTTTTGGAATCTTGAGGGTTACCTGTTTTCTCAGCATTGTCCACTTCAGGAGGTTGAGATGCTTGAACAGGAGGTTGGGAAGCTGGGGTGCCCGCTCCACTTGCCTGAATTTCAGTGTCAGCAACTTGTGGTACAGATACTCCAGCGGTGGCAGCTTGAGAACCACCAACCTAATAATTAGAAAATTAGTGGGGGACATCTTCATGATTATAAAGGGCTCCAAACAAGAGAATTGTACAAATCAAAACTCAGACATTCACAATTCACGTAGGAGTTCAATTAGCCCATCTTATGTAATTAAATATAAGACAACAACTAATATACTGCTAAACATAAATGATCAGAACAACAACTAATATAGTTAAAACTTAAAACAATAGATCAGAAGGAATATAGAAGCAGACCATGAGAGCAAAAATGATGGAATATATACAGCAAAACAGAAGCAGAGCAGGCATGAATAGACCATCATAGTTAAGAGGAGAATCGTACCTCTTGTTGTGCATCCACCATCGATACAGAAGCAGATCAGGACAGGAGCAGATGCTGCGAAAACTAGAATGCCGATGCTAGAATTAGGACTCGCAAAATTTTAGAAGAACAAGAAAAGTGGAAGCTCTGTATGGAATGCACTTAAACGTTACCTTTAAATAGCTTCAATAAGGAGGTGTAATCAGGATATGTATGATCTCTTTGAGATGTACTAGACCCGTAAAAGTTGAAATTGACTTCAATAGACATGATAATTATTGGTAGGAAGGATTATCGGATGGAAATCAAAGGCTGGAATAGGACGAATGAGTGGTGAAATAGTTCTGAAATTGGATTTTAATCATATTCTAGAAGAGATTTCTGCACTGGAGATGATTATTAGTGAATGATTTGGGAACAAATGGAAGGAATCCAAGGGATAAAAGGTAGGTTATTAGATTTGGGATACCAACGTTGGAGAAAATAAAGGAAGGGAAGAGGAGATTCAGAGATGAAATCAGAGTTTGGCTTGGCTGCGTGTTTGTTAGGGTTCCCCATCTCCCAGCGGCTGCTGCTGTAATGCTTGCTTCGAGTTGTGCGGGTGACCCGCAGACCCACCCATGACTCACCCTCCACCCGTCAGATAGCCCCCAACTGGACCCGCCATCCACCTACAGACCCACCCACAAAAGCATGAATCGAGTTAAATGCGGATGGGTCGGTCCAAATCCGCGGGTGACCCATAACAACTAATAAAGGGGGAAAGTGTAGCCTTTTTTTGAAAATTTCAAACCCTATTCTATTTCCTATTTCCATTCGACTAGCAGTGAGATCCCTCCTCATTGTTGGCGACTTGGGATGTTTGGGGTTGTGGAAAAGGGTTGTATGTGAATATGATTGGATGAATAATGATATGACAACTTGAGTTTTTGTGGAATATAGCTTATCTATCATATTTTTTTGCGACGATTAATCGGCCTGGGGGCTGGGCGGTGCCTCCTCGCCTAAATAGCGCCTAGCGTCTTCTTGAACATTGCAATAAATAGATTCTAAGCATATATATATGTGTGTGGCCTCACCTACTAATCTGCCGTACAAGATGGGTAGTGTACATACTAAGGGTGTCCCTATACTATCACAATTTGCATCTTCTCCAAGATCATATTCTCATCAATGTGCAGTGGAGTTCGATCGCATCGTTCCTAGTTTCTTGAAGTACTCATTTTCTGCACTCGCTACTCGGTTCTGAAACATGGTCCATTCCTTCCTGCATCGCTCGCTAACCTGCTCAAGATACATCAAAACAACTCACTTATGTAAGACCATCTGCAGTTGTAATAATGGAAGGTTGTTCAAAGACGGGATCAAACACACATACCCCTTTCCATGATGGCTTTCCGGCTTTCACCTCACCCTGGGAAAAGGTATCATACACAGCAAAGTAATTGTATTAGTTTTTCCAGTTCAAACGCTTGAGAGGGGTGGGAGAGACAGAGAAGAATGGTGGGAGCAAAGAAAGTGAACAGAAATGAAATAATAGAAATGGTGTTCTTGTTCGACCTGGTTCCCAAGTGAAGGGACACGTTGATGAACAATCCATTGAGAATCAACAACTCCAATTTTCTCATGGGCAGGCTGAGTTCATACAGAAGCAGGTAGGTCACAAGACTGCTGAGGATCAAGCGTGAAACAAAACAAGTGAAACATGCGAATATACCTCTATACATTTCCTCATCGCAAAGTCCAGACCCCATCCGTGGACCAAGTCATTCTGTGAAATCACAGTTAGGGTTAACAATAAATGACCGAGCAAAACAATAAACAATGTCTGAAAGAAAGAACAACTTCTGGACCTGAATCATGTACCAAACACAACGCCATGCATCGCGAGAGAACACTGGAGCCATGATCTCAACAAAACTGCACCCATAAGAAAAACTCCCTTCAAAACTTAGAAATAGATCTAACAAAACAGAGCAAAACACTCATAAGGGAAGAAGTCCATTACGCTGCACAGGGTGGCACATGAGGGTCTGTGCACCATCCAGGTTTCTCAGTCGTCGTTCTAGTAAATGATTCGTACAAGAATAAAGAAAAGAAAAATTAGCTCACTACATAAGGATAAGATCCTAGCTTTGGAAAAATACTATACACAGTTTCAATGGTGTCTTTACTTGTGAACTTCTTGATCACCTCTCCTCTTCGTCATCTGCCAGGTCAAACCTTTATTAGGCTCCAACCCAGGCTGTGAGAGCTCCAAACCATGTTTCTTAACTAGCTTAATGTATCTGGTTGAGAGAAAATAAGTACTTAGCAGCACATGAAGATAATAAAATCAGATATAGTCAACAAAAGAGTAATAAATCTAGACATACTCCTCTGCATTGAAATGCTCAACTCCCAAATCCTCATCCCATATGAATATGTAGTCATATGAAGCCACAATATCCGGATGCAAAAATCGCTTTGCATACCACCTATGCAGAAGTTGTGAAACAGAAAGTTAAAACACCAACATTTAATTGAAATCAGAAGGTACAAGAATTGAGTATATGATGTCTTACTAACCACTTTGTCTGCTTTCGAGCACTCACGTGAATAGCCTGCCTCGACCACTCAAACTGATCCCACTCGGAGACTCTACCATCATAGTGAAACAACAGGATTGTAAAGTTTTCTGAGAACTGCAGGATGCAAATTGAAAGTATGCAAATGAGAGTACAAGTTTTGCTATTTCTTATGGCCCCAGATATAACTAAATGAAGGGACTACTGACCTTCTTGACACATGCATCAATATTGTGTCTCTGATTGTAACCGACGGTGAAGGTCACAAGGTACTTTGGTATATTGGTTAAATCCTGTAGATTGAAGCATAACAATTCGTAACTTAATATCATGGATTCTCTGAATATCAAATCAAGGAAGCATAACAGAGGTAATTACTTGAATGAAGATTTAACGGGAAAAAAACATTTCTAATACATGTTGCCTTTCAGATACTCTACAATTACAAATGTATACTGGTTGGGCACAATGCAATACAAACCTCACTGGGTTTACCCCACAATCTTCGCAAGTTGAAGTCAGATTCAGCTACAATGATTCTAGGAGGCAACCTCTCTGCACCTCGAGGGTTTGAAGGGATCCAGATCTGTGCAAGATAAATGAAACTGGATGATGACAGATCCGAACATGGAAATAAACCATCATGCACTTATTATGTCTGTACCAATTGCTGACAGTTCCACTCAGAGTAACCCTGAAATGCCTTGTAGATGATAAGTAACACGTTCTAAATGCTGGAAGCTATGTGAAAATGTTCTTTTATTAGTTGTTATTGTCCATATAGTATAAAGACATAAGTGAAAATGAGTGATCATCCTTCGAATGTGTACTATTACTTATTGCAACTCCATGCAGTATGAAGATATGATGAAAACAAGGGATCAGCGTTCACATTGCGATGCACTGAATGTATGAACTTAAACAAAGCATCAGTTTCTTAGAATAAGAAGCCCCGTAGAACTTACTTTTGATGTATCATTCAATTTTGCGGAGCTGCTAGTGGTACTGTTGCTTGAAGTATTAGAAACTGAATGGGTAGAAATTCCCAACTTTTTCTCGCCCATATATGATAAGTCAATTGTAGGAAGAAGGCCAGATGCAAAATTTAGCTGCAAGTGAGAAATAACTCAGAATGTTAATCACATGAGCATCTAGAGGATAAGAAGGAATACAGGTTATTAAACCCATCATCATCTATCTATCTCAAATAACAGGGATAAAAGAATGGAATCACATGGGATAGAAAATACAAAATAGAACATATACAATTCTAGAATACCTTTGACACAGATAATGAAGGGAAAGATACTCCGATCAAAAAGCCAAAAACTATTCCAAAGAATGTCGTTATAATAAGCCTCGTGCTGTCATTTGGTTTTTTATTTAGCGCACTGCAAACAGGAATTTGCAGATGTCTTAGTAATAATATGCTCACAAGAACTCGTACATCCACAAGGAAACAACAGACAAAGCGACACAAATACTAATGTAAGATTTATCTGTGAAGAACACTAAGGAACGATCTGTACCTCCGGCTGAAGATTCCCATTATATATACAGTATTTTGCATCTATATTCACAAATGCCTGTGACAGCGTATCAAACCAAGGAGCTACAAGTTACTTGAAGGTCCCCAATCTGCAGAAACCAGATAGACCTTCGTGGATGCACTGCTCAACCTGAGCATATGTATGAACAACGGATCATAAAAAGTTCAGTTGATATTCAAAAACTAGGTGAAAGGTAAAACACAGTTTGAGACCTTGCAATCATGAAATGTGTTGCCAGGCATTCACCAACTAGTTAATATTCGAGACAACTTTGGAAAATATGGGCCTCAATTGATCTAAATACACACAACACAAACAGGCACGTGCACCTTCCCTCATTAGCCCTCAGCAAGCAACACAAACAAGAAGCAAAGCATGAGCCATGTTTTGACAACGTAACGAACGCCACGCTTCCCAATTCATTACCGCATAACTTTGCAACCCCTTTGTTTGCAAGCAAAAGACTCGACACAACACTAAGTGCTCTTCCTTACGTTGCACAATATATGCAAAAGTTATCGAACAAATACCATAAACCATTAAAAATAAGTACAAAATTTAGCAGTTCAACTAACTTAGTTTCAGCAGAGCCATAGTTGAGCAACTGGTCAGTCTAAGACAAAGAAATTAATTATAGACGAGAAGCTAGAATTGGTAGCAGTTAGCAGGTGAACATTAAAAATCCCGACTTTATACTCAGCAAAAACGCAGAGCTGGGGACCCTTTAAGCTAAATTAAACTACGAAAAGCGGGAAATCATTACCCAAAACCCCCCCAATTCCCCAGATAACAGAATATATCATCATGGCGAATCAATCAAAGGATCAAGCCAGAGAAGGAAATAAACCTGAACCCAAGAGATTTTCCCGAAAGCCGGACAATCGGGAAAACGCGATAGGACCTGTTTGCCCGTCGAGAATCACAAGGGGAAACCAAAAAAATCGCCACCTTCTCGCTCGAAGCCTGTAACCGAACGGAGAAACAGAGCTACTCACAAAGCTCGTGATCGATCCTTCCACTCGATCCTTCCTTGTTTATTTTCCAGTATCCACGAGACGCATCACTCTCCTTCCTCCCTCGAAGAATCACGACGATAGAAATGAAAATTACAAGTAAAGGGTAAAGAAAGAATGTTGCCGGGAAAAGGGCCTGAAAATTTGCCTTTCCCCTACTCGATTCGATTCTATTAGTTTTCTTTTTCTCTTGCATACATTATTCTCACAGTTTCTTGGGCCTCTCCGCCTCCTCGGGTTTGCCTCCTCCGCCACCCCAGACCCCACTCCGCTGGAGAAAAACAATTGAAGGAAGGAAGCTGGAAAAAGTAAAGATTTGGGACCAAAGCGGACGCCGCGATTTTAATAAGGGTTTTTGCCTTTTTGGTTTTTGATTTGTTCTTTTTCTGTTTGGGTGTTCTCCCTTTAGGCCTTTACGCTGTTTCTTAATTTATTTGTTTGGTACTTTGGTTGTAAAAAAAAAAAAAAAAAATTTGTTTGATCTATATAATTAAATTATATATATTCCTCGTTTTACTGTAGTGATGGCAATGAGCCGGGGCGAAGCGGTTATCTCAATATTCATGTTCCGCTCCATACTATTACGGCTTAGGGTGGGTAAAACCCGTGAGGGTACGGGGCGAGGGATTGACCCACTCTCACATGTTATTTAAAAAAAAACACACGCAAATTTTATTTTTACGATAAAACAAAGGAAAAAAAACACTTTATGAATGAAAAATATTAATAATACAATGGGTAATTGAGTAATCAGTTGAAAGATCGACTCTAACTAGTTGAAGAAAAGTCAAAATAGGAGAAATATGTATAGATATTCTAAGAAATTAAGGTAGAATGGACCAAGAACGGGGCGGGGCGGGGCGGGTCGGAAGTAGATACCCATGCCCCGCCCCATTCTAGTGCAGGTCGGGTAATACTCGCCTCATCACTGGTCAGGTCGGGTATTACCCGACCTATTCAAATTGCCACCACTACTTTATTGTTAAATAAAGGCAATATTCACTTGTATGGCCAAAATTTTCGAGTTTGTGCTAAACATAGTCAAATTTGGAGAAATACCACTTATAGTCACTTTCGTCCAATACTCTAACGATGTTATTTAACAAGCTGACTAGACAAACGGAAATGCTGATTTGGCGATATTACATCAACAACACATCCACGTAGATAAATGAAAAATAAAAATAAATAAAAAATAATAATTTTAATAAACCCATAAACCCTTTGAGCATCCTCTTTCTCTCCCTCCAACCTTCCCCTGGACTTCCCTAATCTCTCTCTTCCTCCAATCTAGCCTCCGATTTTCTCCCTCGATAGCTTCCCCATCAATCCTGTAATAAAATCATAAATCAAAGCCACCATCTGCGCTGGAGAGTTTCAACAGCTTCTCCATAGTTTCCCCATCGATCTCCCGCAAACTCTTCTTCTCTCTTTCAAATCCAACCATGACCCCCACCCCACCCCTTCCTAGATGATCTCTTTCTCACCCTCTCTCTTCCTTTCTTGTCTCTAAGAGTCATCACACACAAATCACTGCCGCTGCCAACCCTCCCGCCGCACCCACCAGCTCCATCGCAGATTAAAAGTGCACATTTGTTGACAAGATATCGGATCTAGAAGTCGGCGTACTTGCAGATGACGCCGACACTCAACGAACCCTAATATCTTTGTTCCAACTTCAATTAAGAAGTCGTAGAAGAAAGAGAAGAGTTGTGGCGGAGCTGAAGAAGGTCGTCGATTTGTAGACAGAGACCATTCGAATCTCGTCGTCTATGTAGCAGGGGAAGGTTTCCTACCCCCCCCCCCCCCCCCCCCCCCCCCCCCCCCCCAAGACGTCATTCAATGACCGCAAATCCAAAATGGGGAGTACGATGGTCTTTGCGGTTTTACTCCCTGTTTTTTTTTTCATTCACAAATCCAAAAGGATACAGAGGATCGCCGACGACTAGGTTGGAGGAAGCTGATGTGGGAAGGGAGTATGCTGTAGAATGAAGAAAAGGGGAAAGAGTAGTATATTTGTGTAATTATTAATTATTTAGGTAAAATAATATATTTTAAGGAAAAATAGGATCGGGGGAGTTAAAGTAATTTTAATTAGTTTTTTGCGTGATTATTAAATATATATTTAATATATGACGTGTTATTTTCTCCTTATTTGGCGCTGACATGTACATTGAGTAGGTTCCTAGTCAGCGAACCGTTAGAGAAGTTGACGGTGTTACAAACACCGTTAAAGTATCTAACGGAAATTGTTATATTTGTCCTTAAATAACTAAAATTTTGGCTATGAGTGATATTTCTCCAAATTTGACTATTATTGGCACAAATGCACAAATTTTGGCTATACAAGTGTATATTGCCTTAAATAAAAGAGTAAATATTCCGATTTATTTACAAAAATATCTCTAAAAAGATACATATTCTAAATGTAGCCATCTTTTGTATCTATTTCCCAAACTAGTCACCTAGCAATTTTTGTGGGCGTTAGAATTGGGACACCTTTGAGCTAGCCATATTTCAAAACAATCATGCAACCTTTTCTTATCACAAACTACTACTCAAACTTCAAAAAACAACTCCTCTTCAGTTTAAGGCTCTGATACCGACTATTGTGAGTCTGCTCCTGACCAGGAACTACTCAGGGATTGTTTATGAAAGCGAAGAATTATTACGTTCTCGACGAATTTTATTCAACCTCTCAAAATTCAGATGTAATTCAAGAACTAGCAGCTAATCCTAAAGTGGATTTACTCTTGAAGATCAGGTCTTCAAATTCACTATGTCTAAGAGTCAGTTGTGGGGACGATCATCACATGGTGTCATCCTATAGTGTCTGACCTCTTTTGGACAATCAACCATTTTTGTGGTCTTTCTCCACTATGCAATTGTGTCTGGGTGGATATTGAGATTAGAATCTCTATTCCAAATCCTCAGTAAGAGAACCATCATTTCATCTTTTCCATTTTTTACCAAGTCAGGGTCCATATAACAAATATCTCTGGTTCGAAGAACCACAAAGACTTTGCCTGACTTAAGGACCACTAAACCATCTGCGTTGACTTCAAAAATTTCTCCATTGTTTGCATTTGAATTTGTAGGGTTGAGTCGTGGTTTCACCAAAATTGGGTCCTCTTCCACTACCTGCACCCAACAAATAAAACTATGTCGTTTGTAATTTTAATAATTTGGATAATTTATGAATGTTATTAATCTTCATGACAAGATAACCTTAATGATATGGATGATTCATGGAAGCTATTAGTTTGATGAAGATATATTTTTAGGGGAATGTACAATAATATTAGAATGTGAATATTCAGAGGAATAAGTGTTTTACTCTTCTAAAACCAAATCGGTATTTTACATTTTTACACTTGTTGGATTGTGTTTGGATTTATTGAAACCCGAGCCATTGTGATACCTAGTTGTGCTATAGATTTTGTAAAATCAGCTTCTAATTAGAACTTTAGAGAAGTACTTAAAAAAAAGTTGAGTGCTTGGTTGAAGGGTGCTCGTGAATCATTTAATGAGATGATAATATGTGTTGAAGGCTGTTGGTACAACTTGCTTCATGTTTTGGGTTTTGCCGAGTCAATTTTGTCATTGGCTAGAGTAGGTTATTCTGCCTTTGCCATTACCTGATCAACGAGCTTTATCCTATGTTTTATTGTACGCCAATGTGCTGCTTGATAGAAGCCGACATCCATTTAGATTTTGATCGCCGATGGGAGATGGGAGATGGAGGAGAAGCGGAAAACAAAGGCAGAAAAGGGGTGGAATGAGTGATCATGGACCCCTCTTTTATTAGGAGCAGATCAGGTCAGTAACCTTATGGTGAGTAAATATGAGTAACCTGTCCACATCAGCATCCCTCTTTCTCAGGAAAAGCCTTTAATCTTTTCCCCTTTAATATCTAACGGACGATTTCTCTCTCGTTTTAAGTCGAAATTTAAATTCTTTTGCATAGATAAATCAAATTAATTGTGCTCTTTAAAATGATATCCACT